CGTGGTGACAAAAGGCCTCGTCGGCAGTTTGGTTAAAACACGTCTTGATTAATGACGTATGAGTGGATCAATTCCACCTCGTCTTCCTTCTGCTCGGCTTCTGCAGCCTCTTCCGTCTGTTTATGTCTGAAGTCTCCATGTTTAATGCTTTAAGCTTTAGGGGAGGAAAGTAAAAAAAAAAAGAAGACGAGCCAGAGGATGAGTACACAGATCTGAGAGAGTGCAGAGTGCAAAGAGCCCCGGCTTTGCCGTCAATCAGGGGCAGAATTTATCAGCACATCGAGGAGGGATGGAGACGGGTCGGCTTTCATCTGAACCACGTGTTGTCATTCCACATTACAGCTGATGGAGGTAGGTGGGCAAACAAGGTTAGGCGAGATGAAAGCGGCTACAGACGAGGAAGAGGCAGGATTTATGGATTTGTCCTCAAATTCCTGCGTAGGCCAAGTAAAGGACAGCCGAGGCTTCTGGTAACACAACCAGCGTTGTTAGCGTGTCTAACAGAAGGGAGTTATCAAAGTGTGAACTGCGCTTTTGATTTTCTCTCTTTTGTTTTCAGCGCCGCGCACAGCGTTGCATCACGCCGCTCCGTGATTGGCTGTTTACTAATTAGATTGAGGTTTTTTTTTTCTCTCTCTGTCTGTCTTTGAAGCTCGAAGTTGTTAAAATGACTGGCAGCATATTTGTCCCTAAATTCTATAAAAAATTGATGAAATATTTCTTTTTTGTTTTCCGTTCGGCGACCACGCCTTCACCCACAGAGAGCCGCTCGGTGGCGTCGGGGCGCGAATGATTCTGTGTTCCCAAAGAAATCCTCTGATGGATTCAACAAACAGACAAGCCTTATCGCTTTTATTATATTTTTCTAAAACAATAATAATAAAATTTTAAAAAATGAATTGCTTCTTTGATTGTTCCTGAACGGTTTGCGGAAACATAATGAAGCGCTCAGCCAGAGTGAAATAATTTCATTTGTGGTTATGTGTAACTAAAGAGAACTCCATTTGTTGTGTTTCTGACTGCGTTTAGAGAAAAATCTGAGGAACAAAACAGCGATTGTGGCGGAGTTGACGTGATTAGCTGAATCATTTGTGAGGCAATAGACGGTAATGTGCTCAGAAATGTTTTAGTTTGGAGCAACCGTGGACTGTTTGGCAATAAAACGCAGACGTAGTGCCGTAAATCATGAGCGTCCACACGTGTTATCCATACAGGAAGTACATCAGTCACACATATTTTACTACATCTTTTATTGGTACTTTTCTCGTATCGATTCAAACACAGCCCACAGTTCAACCCAGTCCCTGAATGTTTGTCACGTGACTGTCGGTTCCAACAGAAGGACAGAAGTTTTAGTTTTTTTTAACCAAACCTGGTCACTGCAGAAGACAGGTGAGTAGTTCAAAGACCGTCGGAGAGTTCAAAATCACACCCCTCCTTCTGTTTTTACACTTTCTGGCTCTGCATTTGTTTTTATTGATTTTGTGGGTTTTTGGGGTTAACGAGGTTAACTTCAACTAAACTGATGTGTTGCAGTTCTCGGTAGCTTTAAGTTCTTGTCCTTCATTGGACAGACATGAAGTAAGCATGTGATGGTTCAGGGGGAAAAAAGAGGTTGCAGGACCAGTGAGTCAGTCTTGAAGCTTTGTGGTGAAACATCTGAACCGGAGTTGATGTTCCAGAGTCGACAGCTCTGTCTGGAGGAAACTGAACGTCTAAACGTTGATGTACGATGTTCGTATTACTGTCCCACCAGTCTGAGGCTTAACTACTCACAGATTTAAGGACTGATTTAAGAAAAATGGCAAAAGTCTGGCCTGTTTTTTTTTTTTTTTTGGACATTTCACAGTCCAAGTGCTCATGAAGAAAATAAAAATCGTTGTTGGTGATGGTGTCTTTGACATGATGGACCCAACCTGAGCAGAAAGCCGAAGGGGTCGACGCTGTTTTCCTCTCAGGTGTCCGCCTCCGTCTATCACTTCTGTCGGTTGTTTTGAACGTCATTGGTTCCGTCTTGGGCTGCAAGGTGGCTCAGTGGTTAGCACTGCCGCCTCACAGCAAGAAGATCGTCGGTTGGCGTCCCAGTGAGGACACCCGGAATCTTTCTGCGTGGAGTCTCCATGTTCTCCCCGTGCAGCGTGGGTTCTCTCCGGGTTCTCCGGCTTCCTCCCACAGTCCAGAAACATGCTGAGGTTAATTGGTGATTGTAAATTGTCCGTAGGTGTGAATGTGAGTGTGCTTGGTTGTCTGTCTCTAAGTGTAGCCCTGTGATAGACTGGTTACCTGTCCAGGTGAACCTGCCTTCACCCTGAGTCAGCTGGGATAGACTCCAGCCAGGATTAAGCGGTGTAGAGATGATGGACGGATGGAAGGATGGATGGATGGTTCCGTCTTGTACGTGGGAATAAGAAAACAGGGACATGACGTGAAAAACGCGAGCATTCGTCTCTTGGCAGCTTCTGTGTGGACTGAAAGTGAAAGTGAAAGTGTGTTGAAGTTTGATTTGACCCAGTGAGATCCAATAGACGCTAGAAAAAACAACAACAAGGTGTCCTGGTCCGTGTAGTCACAGAGCAAGAAAGGGGTCAGGAGGCATCATTTACTGGTATTATTATCATGATTATATGTATATACACCTCCCCCCGTCCAGCAGATCTGACATGTAAACTGTGTGTTTCTGTTTCCTCTGGCAGCACTGAAAGACGCCCGCTTTCAGCTGGTCAACTTCTCCGACAACGAGCTGCGGGTGTCGCTGTCCAACGTGTCGCTGTCAGACGAGGGTCGATATGTTTGCCAGCTCTACACGGACCCCCCGCAGGAAGCCTACGCCGACATCACTGTGCTAAGTACGGCCACACAACGCTCACAAACAGTCGATGCAGGAGGGAGGAAAAGCTCGCTAATTACCTTTTAGGCAACATATAGTCCCACGTTTAGCAGCACGGGGGACAGCGAGGGCAGCTGCAGGGAGGCCGAGTGGAGGAAACAGGAAATTCATGCATGTTTGTTTAAAGAGCCTGTATTCTGCTTTTTGTGGGTTTCTGTCACCTGCAGAGTCCTATGAAGCTGGATGTAAAAGGTTCATGCTGAAGGAAGGAGCCTCGACTCTTACCTGCCTGGAAAAAACTTATTGGAATCAAAAGAAATAATTAAAAATGCAATCAAACAGTACAAACATGTTATAAATGAAACACAGGGATTGAGGAATACATGCGATGAGGAAGAACAAGATGACATAAAATGAAATAAGATGAATAAAACTAAAAAAATAAAAATAAAATGTCTCTTATTAAACACAGATAGAAGTTAAAATTCATAAAAACAGAAGAAGAAAATAATAAAAATGAAGTAAAAAAATAAAACAGTGCATTGAATCGACAAAATAAGTGAATAAATCAATGAATAAAATTTATTCTAAGAAGACTAATAAGTAAATAAAATCCATCTAATCAATCAAGAGTCAAACTAAGAAGCTACAGCCGTCCTCAGATGTGTTCACTGCCTCCCATTAAAGGAGGAAAAAACAGCTTCAGCCACAGAAATACGTTAAAATTGACAAAAGTAAAAATAGATAAAAATTTCATGAACATCATGACGCTGCTTTTGAATTGTGGTTCAACAGAAATATTTTTTTTAAAAACAAACAAAAAAAAAAACAAAAGCAAACAAGCATGATGAGACCCGGGGCAGTTTTTTTATTTTTTATTTTTTAATTATTCTTTCCAACCACAATTCAGTGTCTTATTTCTCTAAATTATAATTTAACAAATTTTTTATTTATTTTTACTTTTTTCAGTTTCTAGTTATTTTAGTGTGAATTTTTCTTTAATGGAAGGTTGTGAATAAAATAAAAAACACCTCAGACGAGCCTTTTCTTATAAACATATTTCTACCAGTTTTGCTCCTCGACTCGTTACCACCAGCGTTAAACTGGAAGCGCACCGGAGACACATTTGAGTTCAATCCGGCCGTCTGTGAATCAGAAACGTTGCAGAAATAATAATAATAATAATAAGAAGAATAAGAATAATAATAAGAATAATAATAATAATAATAAAAAATGTTATTTGTATAGCGCTTTTCAAGAACTCAAAGACGCTTCACAGGATAAAAGCAAAAAAGCAATAAAAGCAATAAACAATAAGCAACAAATACAAAAGTAGATAATATAGAAATACAGCAAGCAGATTTAGAAAAAAACAACAACAAAAAAGTAAATATTGAGATAGAGTCGAGGCCTCGGTGGGAAAAGCGGAACAGATGAGTTTTTAGTTTAGATTTGAATACTACTGGGTCTGAGGTGTCTCGAATCGAAATCTGACCAAGAAACGCAGCTGAACGACTTCTGCTCGCCTCGAATGACGCAGCACATTTACAGTCCATTCAAAATCCAGCAGCGAGACTTCTCGCAGAGGAAACAGTCTGAATGACTCCCCGTTCGTTAAAGAGTTCAGTTTAAGACTCTCTTCATTAATCTCAGTCTGTTTGCACCTCGAGCCCTCAGAGCAGAAAGAGTCGAACACAAAGAGGGATCATGATGATGTCAGAAGAGAGTCAAACATTATTCACTTAAAATGCATTTTCTAATGTTTTCAAATCGCTCTTTTAGATGTTTTGTTGCTGCTCTTTAATTTGAGTATTAAAAGGTGTGATAGAGATAATCCTGTCTGCAGCAGTGTTCAGTCAAACACACAAATAATGTGTTTTTGGGACGTTAAGGCGTCTAAACACATCACAGTAGACGCCAAACAGATCATTTGCTCTTTAACTCTCCCGTTACCTTCAAATTTACAGACATCTTTGATTCTTGGGTTCAGTTTGACTGCAGCAATTTAAACCTCCAGAAAATTATCATAATTAGAATAATTTCCCAAGTCTATGTGCTAATAGGCCTTTAAATGCAACTGAACGAATCATGTTAGTCACTTATTTACAGACGGGGTTCATTTATATACTGTCACCAATTTGCAAAAGGATCATAATTCAAACTAGAATCCAGCCTCATTCCCGACACGTATTTAAATTTTATGAACTTTCTGACGTCCAAACTGTTTTCTTGACATTATTTTTTTATTTAATTTGCAATTTACACCAACATTCACCTCAACAGAGCAGGACAAGGTGCCATAAATCATGAAAATGCAAACAAAAAATCAAAAATAGAATAGATTAATATATAAATAAATTGATTATTGATTATACCTGAAGTCACTCGTGGCCTTTTAGTTGCAACGAGGAGTCCAGAATTTTTAGCTTTTTACAGAAACTTGTTCCCGCAAATGGTTTATTTTTTAAGCAAGTATTTAAATAATGTATGTAGGAAATAAAAAAGTGATTTTGTGATGTAAATACTGCATAACAATATAAAACGAGTAGTTTAACTGCAGTTGGAAAGCTGAAAGTCCAACGAACTTTCCTGTTTCTTTATGTTGACGTGTCCAGCTGTTTGGTTTTTGTCTCTTTTTCTGTTAAATTTATAAATAAACGGTTTTAATTCCACGTATGTTTAAAAGCCAACCCCTCGTCCTCGTGCGTGTGGGAAAGAGTTAAACTCCGGCGCTGCTCTAAACAAGCGTTAATCAAGTCGCATTGTTGTAGGACGAGCAGAGTGAAACTCATCAGACGCTGAAATCGTTTTTTTTGTTTTTGTGCGCGCTGGCATCCTGAATGACTGTAAAGGTCAGCTGTCAACAAGTGTTTTTGCCAACAAGCTTGTTAAAGAGCAGCTTGAACGTCACATAATGTCACGTAATGATGAAAACTTTGGCCGCACAATAGCCGCGCTTCTCCTGAATGTAATTAGATTCATTAATGAAGCTTCTCAAGTACAAAACCAAACTAAGTTATTAGCTTGTTTTCACAGCTTGTTTTTTATGCAGATCACGGTGACAAGACGATTCCAGCGTTAGCATGTGAAGCTAATTCCTACCTTACATGACTTTCGTTTCTCTTCTGCTGTCCTCTCACTAGCCTTAGGAGTGCACGTTCTGTATTTCCTCAGCGCTGACAGAGTTTTGTTTGTGCTTCCAGTTCCTCCAGGTAACCCCATCATCGAGGCCCGCGATGAGGTCCTGAGCGAGGGCAACGAGACAGAGATGACCTGCACCGCCATGAGCAGTAAGCCGGCCGCCACCATCAGATGGATGAAGGGAGATAAAGAGCTCCCAGGTAGGCAGTCCGACGCGCACCGAGAGCAAAATCACAATCATCCATCAACACATTTCCTCTGCTAACACAATATAAAAGACACCGACGTGGTGCTTTAAGATCAGAGCCGGCTTCTCTCACAAATATTCACTTGTGTGCAGGAAACACATCTGTGGGACGCCGTGTTCCCCCAACTTTAGAGGAATGATCTGTCGCCTCCGAGAAGTGCTGCGAAAGTTTGCTTTGAACAAGTCCACATAAAGGCCCGTGTGCAATCAAAAGAAAAAGAAAAACCACGTCTGCTTTCAAACATCGGGACTGTTGATCGTGCACATTCACTCCCGTCTGCACGCTCACTTCAACGCCGTTTTATCTTCACAAGCCGTAATGAAACCCAAAAGTTATTCACCTGTTAAAGTGGAATTAGATTTCTTAAATTGCTTTTTTTTCTTCTTCTTCTTCGTCCGCTACACAATATAGGTCTGCTCCGTAGATGACTTGTGTTCTCCTTGGAGAGAAAATCAGGAACCAAAATGGAGAAATTAATATTTTAGATTTTGTTGGAGTCGTGACGGTGCAGCCCAGTTTTGCATTAATTCAGCTGAAAACCAAATAATAATCAGCTTTATGTCTGCATGTACACACAGGTCATCATCTTATGGAAGAGTTCAGTGAATTTTAAATTAAAAATTGTCAAACTTTGGCTAAAAGTAGAGACAACTAAAAATAAAAGAGGTTTTATGTGCAGTCTGACAGCATTATGATGCCATAAATCATCCATTTAAAAAAGCTGAAAGTAGAGTTTCTTTGATTTCTTTTACAAAAAACTCGACAACGTAAGAAGAAAACAAGGCGGCGCTGTGATCTGCAGACGTTTTACTGTCCACTCAGCCCAACAGTCCCAGAGTTTCTGTTGTGTGACTTTTGGTTGCAGCCGAGTCGCTACCGGCAGTTTTTGGCAGATTTTAAAAACAGGACACGTAAAATAAAACGATTCTGATGGAATATCGTGATTTTAGGATTTGGTTAATTTTCTAGCCGAAGCTGATTCTGTCCGTGTCTGGTCGATGGTAACTGGCAGAATATTCTACATTTTTAACAATGAGTCTCAAATCTGCCGGCGAGTTTTGGCGCTCGGAGGGTTAACAGAAGTGTTAAAAATGGCTCCACCAGTGGAGCGATTGGTCAACAAAGACGGTGGAGGGAAGAAGAAGAGGTTGGACATTTCCATCCCAGTCTTTGCCAAACAGGGACACGCTGCCGGTGGTCCGGGGACACTGGAGCTCTGTTTTTAAACCCTCTGCTTGTCATTTAATCTGTGATTTATCAAACAAACTTAACAGAAAAATACTTGTTTGAGACCTTAGAGGTCTTTGTGACGGCATGAATAATGACAGTGGAGGCTACGTGTTGGACGTGGAACGGAAATAACTGCATTAGGAAGATCTTTCATCGCTTCACGCTGTTTAAAATATGCACACCTTTCTGTAAGTTGGCACATTTTTCCATTAAGTGCTGCTGAATTCTAACTCCTGCACACACATAAGCTTCTTCTAAGCGCCCCGTGCCAAATGTATAGACGTAAATGAGCCACTTTCTGTCCTCCTCTGCTGGATGTACACATTTAGTGCTTCCACCAGCGCCGGTGCATTTTAAATGGAGCTTTGCTGCAACTTTGAGCAGATTCCATTAAAGCGATGTGGATATGCAGCAGTGGCCAGAGCCTGTTGGCACACTGACAACTTGCATGCCTTCATCAAAGGTAGCTGAGCTTTAGAAGTCTGTGCAGAGCTCAGGGGTGAACAGGCCTCCTGCCAGGCAGCTCCACCTCAGAGCCCAGACAGTAAGCTTTGTAAAGACTTTGAAACAAAGGTCCCAATCAGAAGCTGAGCTGAAGGCCTGGAGCAGCCTCACCTCTACACTGCAGCACATTAAACCCTTAGTGGTCAGCTCCAATCGGAGAATGTTCCGATGCAGCAAGGTCGGGGTTTGGCTTTCTTCTGACGCTCAGTCAAATGTTTGCGTTTCTGCCGATCAGTGGATTCAGACGCGTGCTGCCGATGCTCCGGCTGTTCAACATCTGCACAGATGCACACATGAAAACCCCGTTATCAGGTTTATTCATATAAATAATGGACCCACAAAGTCAGGTCTGTGCAGCAGGAATCATCTGGGCTTCCTTCATCTCCTCCACTGATGACTTAAAACCCGCCAGTGGCTTTAAAAGATGTCTTTGAAATATCGCCAAACTTTCCTGAAAATGCATCACGAGCACAAACTAAAAACAGAACGACTTGTCTGATTTTGAACCTTACAATAACCCTTAAACTGAAACTGAACCAAATCCAAGCAACAAATTGGGACATTTTATCCAAATTACTGACTTCTACATGCCTCATTAAAAACCTCCTCACTGCAACTAAAAAGTCACGAGTGACCCAGTTGTACCCGGGTTTGGACCCAGTTCTCAGCTGAACTGGGTTGAACTACAGGCTGTGTTTATGCAAAACTGTAAAAAATGAATAAAACATCTATATTTTATAGACGTGCAATTTTGTTCCAGTGTTGGTACCATCTGTGGACACTTGAAAAACAAATGTTGTACATGTTGAGTGTTCACGAGCTTTGGGCCGTGACCGATAGAACGAGATCGTGGATACAAGCAGCTGATATGAGGGCGGCTGGGCTCAGCCTTAGAGATAGGGTGAGGAGCTCGGACATCCAGAGGGAGCTCAGAGCTCAGAGTAGAGCTGCTGCTCCGTCACGTTGAATGGAGCCAGTTGAGGTGGTTTGGACATCTGATTCAGATGCCTCTGGAGAGGCTTCCTCTGGAGGTCTTCCGAACATGTCCACCTGAGAGGAGACCCCGGGGCAGACCCAGAACCCGCTGGAGGGATTTTATCTCTTGGCTGGCCTCGGGATCCCCCAGGAAGAGCTGGAAAGTGTCGCCGGGGGGAGGCAAGTCTGGAATGACCTGCTCCACCTGCTGCCTCCGCGACCCGACCCCGGATAAGCGGAAGATGATGGATGGATGGATGGATGGATGGGTAGGTGGGTGGATGGATGGATGGATGGATGGATGGATGGATGGATGGATGGATGGATGGGTAGGTGGGTGGATGGATGGATGGATGGATGGATGATGGATGGGTGGGTGG